CCACCCACCTACCCCTTGGTAGCCCCCAGTCACTTCTCAGTGTCTGTGCATCACTACTATTTTGCTCATTTTGCTTTGTTTTGTTTTTAGATTCCACAAATAACTGAAATCATATGGTATTTGTCTTTCTCTGCCGGGCTTATTTCACTTAACCTAATACCTTCTAGGTCCATCCATGTTGTTGCAAATGGCAGGATCTATTTTTTATAGTTGAATAATATTCCATTGTGTATATGTACCACATCTTTATCCATTCATCTATTGATGAGCACCTAGGTTGTTTCCATAACTTGGCTAATGTAAATAATGTGGCAATAAACATAAGGGCGCATATAACTTTTTGAATCAGGAATTTTATTTCTTTCACTTAAATTCCTAGAAGTGCAATTACTGGGTCATATGGTATTTCTATATTTAGTTTTTGAGGAAACTCCATACTGATTTTCATAGTGGCTGCATCAATTTATATTCCCACCAATAGTGTAGGAGTGTTCTCTTTTCTTGACATTCTCACCAACACTTGTTATTTCTTGTCTTTTGGAAAGTGGCCATTCTAACTGGTGTGAGGTAATATCTCACTGTGGTTTTTATTTGCATTTCCCTGATGATTACCAATGTGGAACATCTTTACATGTCCCTGTTGGCCATCTGTATTTCTTTAGAGAAATGACTGTTCAGGTCCTCTGTCCATTTTTTAATTGGGTTATATATATTTTTGGTGTTGAGGTGTATGAGTTCTTTATATATTGTGGGTGTTAAGCCTTTATCAGATGAATCATTTACAAACATATTCTCCCATACTGCAGATTGCCTTTTTGTTCTGCTGTTATTATCTATTGGTGTACAGAATCTTTTTAGTTTAATGTAGTCACACTTGATTATCTTTCATTTTGTTTCCCTTGCCTGCGGATATGTGTCCAGGAAAAAATTCCTTATGCTTATGTTCAAGAGATTTTTGCCTATGTTTTCTTCTATTAGTTTTATGGTTTCACATCTTACATTTACACCTTTGACCTATTTTTATTTTCTTTTGTGTATGGAGTTAGATAATACTCCAGTTTCATTCTCCTGCATGTTGCTGTCCAGTTTGTCCAACACCAGTTATTGAAGAGACTGTCCTTTCCTATTGTATATTCATGACTGCTTTTTTATATTAGTTGACCGTATATGTGAGAGTTCATATCTGGGCTCTCTATTCTGTTCCATTGATCTATGGGTCTGTTCTTGTGCCAATAGCATCCTGTTTTGATTCCTGTAGCTTTGTAGTACAGCTTGAAGTTGGAGAGTGTAATATCCCCAGCTTTGTTCTTCTTTCTCAGGATTGCTTTGGCTCTCCAGGGTCCTTTATGGTTCCATATGAATTTTATAACTATTTGTTCTGGTTCATTGAAAAATGCCATTGGAATTTTGATAAGGATTGCATTCAGTCTGTAAATTGCTTTGGGCAGGATGGCTATTTTGACAATATTAATTCTGCCTATCCATGAACACAGGATAGATTTCCATTTATTAGTGTTTTCTTTAATTTCTCTTATGAATGTCTTATAGTTTTCAGAGCAAAGGTTTTTCACCACTTTGGTGAGGTTTATTACTAGGTATTTTACCCTTTCTGATGGAACTGTATTCCTGATTTCTCTTTCTGCTAGTTTTTTATTAGTATATAGGAATGAAACAGATTTCACTTCACCTTCACTGAATTCAAATATTAGTTCTATTAGTTTTCTGGTAGAGTCTTTAGGGTTTTCTATGTAGAATATCAGGACATCTGCAAAAGAGTAACAGTTTAACTTATTCCTTATCAATTTGGATGCCTTTTATCTCTCTGTCTTGTCTGATTGCCATGGCTAGAACCTCCATCCAGTACTATGTTGAGTGAGAGTGGTGAGAGTGGATATCCTTGTCTTGTTTCTGATCTTAGAGGAAAGCTTTCAGCTTCTTACCATTGAATATGATGTTAGCTGTGTATTTGTAGAATATGGTCTTTAATTTTGAGGTATGTATCCTCTATACTCATTTTCTTGAGAGTTTTTATCATGAATGGATATTGAGTTTTTTCAAATGTTTTTTCAGCATTTATAGAGCTGATCAAGTGGTTTTTATCCTTCTTTTTATTAAAGTGGTGTATGAACTACATAAATCCCACTTGGTCATGATGGATGATCCTTTTGATGTATTTTTGAATCTGCTAATATTTTGTTGAATTTTGCATCTATGTTCATCAGGGATATTAGTCTAAAACTTCTTTCCTTTGCAGTGTTCTTGCATTTTAGTATTAGAGTGATGCTGGCCCCATAGGATGAGTTAGGAAGTATTCCCTCCTCTTCTACTTTTTGTAATACTTTAAGGAGGATGGTTATTAAACTATTTTGAAAATGTTTGGTAGAATTCAGCTGTGAAGCCATTGGTCCTGGAATTTTGTTTGTTGGGAGTTTTTTGATAACCAATTCAATTTTGTTACTGGCAATTGGTCTGTTCAGATTTTCTCTTTCTTTCTGAGTCAGTCTTGGAAGGTTGTACTTTTCTAGGAATTAGTTCATTTCTTCTAGGTTGTTCCATTTTGGCATATAATTTTTTATAGGTTTCTCTAATAAATTCTTTGTATTTATGCGGTGTTAATAGTAACCATTCCTTTTTTACTTCTTATTTTGTTTATTTGTGTCCTCTATCTTTTTTTTCATGGGAAGTCTGGCTAGGGGCTTGTCTATATTGTTTATTTTCTCAAAGAACCAGCTCTTGGTTTAGTTGATTTTTTTCTATTATTTTATTCTTTTCTATTTTATTTATTTTTGCTCTGATCTAGTTTCTTTAGTTGTGAGTTTAAACTGTTTATTTGGGATTGTTCTCATTTCCTGAGGTAGGCCTGTTTTGCTATGTACTTCCCTCATATATTGGCTTTTGCAGCATCCCACAAATTTTAAAATGTTGTATTTCCTTGTCAACACTTCATATTATTTGTCTTTTTTATTATAGCCATATAATGAGTGTGAAGTGGTATCTTACTATGATTTTTATTTGCATTTCCCTCGTGGTTAATGATATTGAGCATCTATTCACATGTTTATTGGACATTTGTATGTTTTCTTTGGGGAAATGTCTATTCAGATTCTTTATCTATCTTTATCTGGGTTATTTATCTTTTATCTTGTTGAGTTATAAGGCTATTGATGTATTTTGGATACAATTCTCTTATCAGATATATGATTTGTCAATATTTTCTCTTAATCTGTGAATTGTTACCTTCACATGTTGAATCAACTTCCTTTGAGCTAATCAGTTCAGGAATGACAGGATAATTGTGTTAATATTCTCCTACTTGAGCAAAAAAGCCAAATGAAATGCAGCAAAATATTTTACAGATTTTGGTTATTCTTATATATCCATACCAGAAAAAAGGCCTAGGAGTAAGGTAAATAAAAATTTGTGTTTTCCAGAAGGAATCAACCAGGTCCACAAGCATGAACTCTGAATGATTCCATTGAAACCAAAAGTTGTTAATTGATTTTCTTGCCTTATCATTAGGTCATTAATTCATTCAACTCCACAAGGTGATGTGAGGAATAAAGGTAATAGATGATTCCCTTAAAAAACATAATTTCAATGTTAAAAGAAGGCACAAATGATCATAATACATTTTAGAAAGTGATTCAACATTGAGTAATTACTACATCTAGGGTATTAGTAAGTCCCTGGAAAACAGAAACACTAATATGATCTGTTTTGCCTTAAGTATCTCTCAGTCTAATGTGGGCATATTATCCATTTCACATGTTACATGTAAACATATTGTAATAAAATGTAGTTCATAAAATAACAGAGCACTGTACTAAGTAGACATGGCCAATTCTACTTGGAATAATTAAGAAAGGATCCATAGAAGAAACTTATGAAAAAGGAAAAAGATCCAAGCTCAACTAACATAAAAATTCTCCTTCCCCCACAACTCTATCTATCTATCATCTATCATTTATTAAGGAAAAGTGCATCTGGGCATACATTCATGGATGGAAAACATCATAAAACTGAGTAAAATCTTTAACATGAAAGACAAATAATATAAGATTCGAGGATAATTTGTAAATTTTGAGCCTGGAAGATTGAGAGGAAGCTAGTAACTATTACAAATAATTGAAAAAGAAAACCCTTTTTTCTTCTTTCCCACCCCAGAAGTTTTGTAAAGGACACTAATTTAAAATAAACCTAAATAAATTACATTCAAATGTCCTTTGTCATTCTCTCCTCCACTTTTCTCCCTCTGTCATGATCTTTGTAGAGAATTCAGAATAGAGTCAGGTTGTACAATTCTCCTATGAGTCTAGAGATTAAAGACTTGCTTCATGGCATCAGTGAACTGATGCTATGAAGACAGATTTAAAGTACTTCTTTGCTGTGCATATAAAACTGAAGCCAAAAGGCCGCTTCCTCAAACCAAAGCTAGCTACTGAACTTGTTGCCACATGCTTTTTAACCCAGAGATATCATTACCCCATTACCCTATCCCTTAGCCCAATGGATTTTATTTTTTTTTGAGGGAAGATTTGGAGAATATAAAAAGTATACATTTTTTTCTTATTCTTATTACCATTGGAATTGATATTAATTGTACACTTATTATAAGCAGGGTATTTTGCTACGACCTGTATACTTCAATAGTGAAAGATATGGTTCCAATTTTTAAGGACTTTTTTTCCTTTTGAGAGGGGAAGGAGTACAGAGTTTTATTTTTCCCTATTTTTTTTTTTGTTTGTTTGTTATTTCTGTAGGAGCAACTAGACTCTTTTCATGTAAGAAACTATGGCTATTAATTATAGATCAAGCTTAGTACAGAAGACACAACTATAGCTTAGAGTTGTTTAAAACTTTTTTGTATATTTTAGACTTATCTAAATTTGATATATATAGGTATTGAAATTGGGAACTAACAGAATAGTTATTGAAGTTCTATATTTTTTCTCTTTAAATTTTCCTTATCAGTAATATCATGCTTGTTGTGCAGTTCTTACCTCGAAGTCAAAAGTCCAAGTGCCTCCAAAGGGTGAGAAAATTTCCATCTTCTCAAAATGGTATGCATTTCTGAAACAGCCCTTTCATCCCATCCAGGGGCACTACCCAGGACTAAAGGAATGGAGCAGTTTTCACTATTGCAGTAGAAGCGATAAAACCATAAGTATCTTCTCTTTTCCTCAGAGAGTCTGCAAAACCAAATTGGAAACTGTAATTTACTGGACTTTGCTATACTAACAAATATTGCTATAAACAAGCAGTATAAAATCTTACTCCAGTTCTTTGAATTTTATTTTGGAAAACAAGTCCTTTATCTTTTTGTGACAGTTTGATAGGTTATTTCATCAGCTTATTTCCCACTACCTTTTTTTTTTTATAGAAAAATAAAATAAACCTCAGTTCAGATAATTCACACTGATTTTTCCTCCCTCTTATCCTTGCTACTTTTTTAAATATGTCATTTTGGTTGGCAAAATCTCTGTCTCCTTTAGGGCAGACCAAGTTTATCTTGTAACATGTACCTCCTTATAAAAGAGGTAATCAACTTTCCTCTCTTATTTTCTTTAAACATTAATTTAAAGCCAAGTGAGACTGTGAAAAATGGCCTATTTTAAAGATGATGTTCCTTTGTCTCAAAACAAGTTGCATCAGAGTTCAGAAAACTCTGCTCTAAACTTCAAAAACAAAGATCTCAATTCATCCCTGGATTCTGACTCTAAACTGAGTTGGCTGGAGGTCTGGAGTTAAAATGCCACTGAAGAGAACTTCCTTAAATGTTCAAGTATTTCCCCCTGAGAATGGTCCAAAATAGAAGATCAAAATCTAGGACTAAGGCTACTGACTTGCTGAACAGTTTGTCATGTTTTGCTTGCACTCCAGCAGAAGCATTCAGAACCATAGTTCATCTGGAGGACAGCATTTCTCACATGACAATGACAGTTTTTAAACTCTGTCTTCTCCAAGCTGACACTCTGTTGCTCCTCTTGAATTAGCCAAAACTCCTAAGAGAAACACTAAAATTAGCTGAAACTCCTATGAAAAATAATAAAATATTTTAAAAGTCAATTCTTTCTCTACAATTTCATGTTATTTTCATCTGTTAAATGAAAGGATTAAATTATAGATGATTTTTAATATATGTTTGGGCTCCTTTCCTGTTTTGTTACTACCTTCCTCACTAGAAAGCCCTCTGAAGAAAGAATTCTATAACAAAATTATTACTAAATTACTAAAAGACATTATTTTGTTATTAAATTCCTTTTTCCCCATATTGAACAATGTTTTTTATTCACCTTTAATTGAAGCATAATTTATATAAAAGAGAATTTACAGATTCAGTTCAATAAATTTTAACAAATGTATATACCAAGTAAAAATCACATTCCTTTCAAGATAAGACAGTTTTTTCATGCCACCAGATACAAGCACATATATGCTTTCTTTCACTATAGATTAATAATAACTATTTAAGCACTTCATATAAATTGAATCATAGAGAAAATTGTTTTTATTTATAGTTACTTTTACTCAGTATAATGTTTTGGAATTATCCATATTGTTGACTGTATCAGTAGTTCATTCCTTTTAATTTAGGAATATTATTTCTTTGTATGAATATACCACTATTTACTTATGCATTCTCTCATTTGATAGACATTTGATGGGATATTATGAATACAGCTGTTGTGAACATCTGTGTGTATGTTATTTCTATGGATCTACTTTTCGTTTCTCCTAGGAGCACCTAGAAATGTCAGGTATTTGTTTACCTTTAACTGTCAAACTATTTTCTGAAAATAATTTCAAACTAAATTCAAAATAATTTGTTTGAAGCTAATAATTTCAAACCATTTTCAAACTGAATTCTGTAAAATTTTACATTATTATGTACAGAGTTTGATAGTATCAACTGTACCACATTCTTGTCAACACTTGATTTTGTCCATTTATACATATTATCCATTCTAACTGGTGGAAAGTAGTATCTGTACTAACAATGGGGAGAATTAGAATTTTTATCTTAACAATAGGGAGTATTCTAATCAATGGCATGGTATTCATTTTCATTTATTTATTTAGGTTTTTAATTCTCTTAGCAAATTTTTTTACTCTTTGGTGTAGAGGTTTTGATATTATAAATAGAATTTAAAATAACATTTTCTATTTTCATTAGAATACAATTGCATTTTGATTTCACATTGATCTCAAATCTGTGACCTTGCATAACCATGTCATCTGAAAATAGAAACAGTTTTCTTTCTTTCTAACTTTCACACATTTAAGATTTCTTTTTCTTGCCATAGTGCACTGGCTATGACTTCTGGTACAACATTGAAGAGAAATATTTAGATAGACATTCTTGATTTGTTTCCAATCTTAGGGGCAAGACATTCATTCTTGTACCATTTAATATGATGTTAACTGTAGATTTTTCCATAGATCTAGCTTTAACTCAGGACTTTAAAGTTGAGGAGGTTCTATTCTATTTTGAGTTTTGTGAGTTTTTATAATGAATGGGTTCTGAATTTTGTCAAATTATTTTCCCAAATCTATCAAGAAGCCAGGGAGCATAATACCCCAGCAATGTTCTTCTTTCCCAGGATTGCTCTGGCTATTCAGGGTTTTTTGTGCTCCCATATAAATGTTAGGATTATTTGATCTAGTTTGTTGAAAAATTCTGTTGGTATTTCAATAGGGATTGCACTGAATCTGAAAATTGCTTTGGGGAGGTTGGCCATTTTAACAATATTAATTCTTCCTATCCATGAGCACAGGATAGATTTCCACTTATTTGTGTCTTTTTTAATTTCTCTCATGCACATCTTATAGTTTTCAGAGTACAGGTCTTTCACCTCCTCAGGTTTATTCCTAGGTATTATATTCCTTTTGATGCAATTGTAAATGGAATTGTTTTTTTATTGAGACTTCATTTGTTCACTCATATGTATCTTTTTACAAATATTCATACATGTATTTATAATAGTTCTATTGAAATTGTTATCTACAAATTTAAAAGTATTTAGGTTTCTTCCTGTTTATTGTTTCCCCCAACTCCAATTTATGGTTGTATATTCCTGACTCTTCCTATGTCTAGCAATTACTGAATTTATGCTAAACATTTAAAATGTCATTTTACTGATAGTCTGAGTTTTGTTATCTTTTGGTTGTTATTTTTCTTTTTTCTAGTAGGCAGTTAATTCCTAGCAGATAAATTGATCTTTTTGAGACTTTTAAAAAATAGTTTGTTAGGTTAGCCCTAGCATAATCCTTAATCTTGGGTTAGAGCACTCTCTCTCCTAATATGCATCCTTCTGGTTTCTTTATTGAATGCTTTGGGTATTCTGTGACCTTTCTCCATTCATACTGGTCAGCATTTCTATGTCTCCAAACATTGTGCAACCTCTAGAATCTACATTTATTTCATATCTCCGTGTAGTGGTTCCTTTGCAGGTCCCACAAAATCTCTCTCTGCTCATGAGCTGCTTAGTACTAAGCTAAACATTTAAGGGGACCCCAATACATATTTCTGTAACTTCTATCCTGTACAGTCTCCTTTCTTTCCATTATTATACTCTGGAAACTCCAGCTTCCCCAGAATTACTAAACTCTGATCTTTGCAAGACCTCCATGCTTTCTTTGACAATACCTCCCAGAGCCATGATGTAGAAGTGCTTCTGGGATGGAAGCCACTTTATTTATGGGCTCACTTCAAGCCCTGTCCAATTTCTGAAAGCAGCTGGTTCATATGTATTTTTCTTGTATCATATTTCTTTAAATCATGAGGATTAGTCTAGCAATAGGTATGCTTCACAGCCAGCGGTGCAGGCATTAATTACTTTCAAAACAAATGTTTTTGTATTTTTTGTTCTGAGATCTTCTCCATTTTAGAAATACTAAGTTATCACAAAGACAGTATTTTTTAATTTTTATAAATATTACAGTTACATTTAAATTGAATTTCATGGGTCAGAACATTCTGTCTCTGATTACATTTGATAAACTTGATAGAATAAGTCACCAATAAAGTGGTAAAAGGTGATATTTTGAAACTGAAGTTAATTTCATTATATCACAAGTTTTATCACATTGAAGGCTGTTCTCCATCTGTTTTCACAGTACAGAATGAAATTGTACTGTACTGTGCATTAATAATTGTATTTGAGTGGGTGAAAGAGGAAAATGTTGCTTGTTTTATGTATAAATTATTCACTTAAATAGCAACTTAATAAGAAACAAGTTAGAATTCAGCATGGTTAATTTAAAAACACAAACCTCTAGAGGGAGTTACTGTGCTTATTATTTGTTAGTTTTGACATTTTTGTTTGAATTTATTTAAAATTTCAAAGCATGGTAATTTTTTCATATTTTAAAATCACTCATTACAAATATGACACACTTGTTAAATAAAAAGTTTTATATTTTTGAGTAAGTAGTAGAAAAAGATGATTCATATACTTAAGATGTGAATATCAATGGATAATCAAGACACGTGTTATAACCCTGAGAATATTTCACCATTTTCAATCCTTAAGGTAAGTTTTATACCAAACTCTATGTAAAGGAGCTTTGTACATTATAACACTTGGTGTATACAAATTATCAGCACAGTGTACAATACTAAAACTATAGCGATAAACAACATAGATATGTTCCTCTTTGCTATCCTATTTTCTTACAAATTAATGAGAAGGAGAAAAGAAAAACACATTAATGAACAAGATGATAATATATTGTGTTAAGTGTGGTAACACTACGGGTAATAATAACCCAGAGGGTAGAGAGAGAAAAACTTCATTAGACAGGGTTGTCAAAGAAGGCCTCCTTGAGAAAATCACAGTTAAGTGAAGACCTATAGGATGAGATGACTCAGTGATGTGAAGAACTGAGGAAGGAGCATTCCAAGTAGAGGGAACCCTAAATAAAAAAGGCTTTTGAGGTAGGAGAGGGACTAGCATATGCGAAGTATGTGAAGGAGACTGATATCACTGGTTTGAAGTGAATGAGGGAAAGAGGGAAACACGTTGAAATTAGAGAAGACAGCAGTAACAAGATTAGCCAAAACAAAACTCTTGATCACAATCAACACCTCAGTTTACAATGGCCCAAACTTATTCCTCCACCAGAAAATGATTAAACATTTGCCCAGTTAATCAATTAAAAACCTTGGATTCTCCATTGATTTAATTTGGTTTCTCAATTGGCTTCTCCCCGAATTGCTATTAATCATGTGTAGTCACGTCTCCTCAACTTCCATAATATGTCTCCCAAATCTAGATGTATCTACAAGTGTCCACTGCCATCATCCTAGTTTTAGTCACCATGACCTCTTGCCTAAAATGTTATATCAACCTCCCTGTATTGCTTGCTTTCATTCACTTCCTCTCCAACCCATTCTTTAAGTTGTAGTCCAAGGGATCACTCAAAAAAATTATTCAGATCACACAATTCCCTGTTAAAAATTTTAAATGATTTCTCATTTTTGGAACAAAATGCTTAATTGTTATTATCTTATGGTAGATACATAGAGTTATTTAGAGACATGCTTTTGGCATCAATATAAACAGCGGTGCCTCAGATATTGCCTGTAGTAAGTACAAGTGTCACTAATTATCTTAGAGTTCTTGGGATTTGTTTTTTCCAGAGAATTTTTGTTTGACAAAATTGAAAGCTCTTTGGTCACTAACAACCTCTGCTTTTTTTACTGGGATGTATGAACCATTTACATTTAATGTTATCATTGATATGATTGGGTTAAGTCTATCATCTTTTTTTAAAATTTAAGTATCATTGATACACAATTTGTATTGGCTTCTGTTATACAACACAGTAGTTCAACAGTTACCCACATTATTAAATCCTCACCCAATCTAGTGCAGTTACTACCTGTCAAGATAAGATGTTACAAAATCATTGGTTATATTCTCCATGCTGTACTAGCATCTCTGTGACTAACTTATATTTTGATTGAGAATATTTGTGCCTCCCTTCCCATTACCCCACTCCATCCCCAATAGTAATCACCAGTCACTTCTCATTGTCTGTGAGTTTATTGCTATTTTAGACATTTTGTTTTGTTTTGTTTTTAGATTCCACAAATAAATGAAATTATACAGTATTTGTCTTTCTCCTCCTGGCTTATTCCACTTAGGACAATACCCTCTAGGTTCATTCATGTTGTTCCAAATGGAAGGGTTTCTTCTTTATGGCTGAGTAATATTCTATCATGTATATGTACCACATCTTCTTTATCCATTCATCTATTGATGGAAACTTAGGTTGCTTCCACATCTTGGCTATTGTAAATAATGAGGCAATAAACATAAGGGTCTCTACATCTTTTCTAATCAGGAATTTTGTTTTCTCTGGGTAAATTCCTAGAAGTGAAATTACTGGGTTGTATGGTATTTCTGTACTATTTAAATCTGCCATGATAATTAAGTTTTGATTTTTCCTATTTACTAAAACAACTTTCCACCTCCTTGAAGGATAGTCAAGCAATGGTTTATCACTATTAAAAGCTGATATATATATATATATCTAATCTGTTTCTGCTTTATTGTTTTGAACAGAAATATTTCTAAATATTTTTGCTTTTCCTTTGACTAAGGTTAAAGTTGCAAATGCCATAGGAAAAAAAATCTTTAAAAAATTACATTACTAATTTGGCTCTTAAACATTAATTTATCATCCTACAGGTGTGAATTTAGGAAATGAAGGTCAGGTCCACTCTTTAAAGATGTGAGTGCCAGTATGACAGATGGTATCATTAACAGCAGGCAAAATTCACTTACAAGGCCTGGGACACTTACAATAAAGGCGAATGCTTCTGTGAAAGTCTGGCAATATGTTTTAAACACTCTTTTGGTGGTTCTTCAAGATTACTTCTATTCTCTTCAGAATCAAGTTTCATAAACTCCCACTCAATAGCTGGAAAATCAATCTGCAATAAAGAAATGATTTGCCGTGAATTGAATGCCTCAAAAATGCATTATTAATTTAAATCTCTTAGTTTTTGTAGAAACTAAAGGAAAATTCCTGTACTTTCTGTGCTCTTTATTATTTACAAATAATTTTTAAAAGAATTATTATGTTTTGGACTTTTTTACTTAAATACATATAATATTTATTAAATAATCAATTATTTTGAGAGGAAAGTGAGCTCAGTTTGGGATATGTTGTCTTTGAAGTTACCTACAGAATATCCATCTGGAATTTTCAGCAAGTATGTGGCTATATTTGTTTTGACACTTGTGACGTGATGGACTCTGAACTAGAGATACAGACTCAGAAATAAACTTGCACAGATAGTGTGAATAAAATCTTAGAAATGAATGAGACCCAGCAATTTCACTGCTAGGTATATTTATCCAAGATAAATGAAGACATATGTCCACACACAAACTTGTACATGAATGTTCATCCCAGTGCTGTGTTTAATAACTATAATTTTGAAAACAATGTAATGCATACCAATTAGTGAATGGATAAAGTGTGGTATAGCCATACAATTTAATATTATTTAACAATAAAAAAGGAATGATTACTGATATTAGCTACAATGTGGATTATTTGAAACATTATGCTAAGTGAAAGAAGCCAGTCACAAAAGACCACATATTATGTGATTCAATTTATATGAAATGTGCAGAAAAGGTGAATCTATAGAGACAGAAGGATTAATTGTTGCTTAGTTGAAGAAGTGGAGAGAAAAGGAGGTGATGGCCAAAGGTTATGGAATTTCTTTTTGAAGTGATGAAAATGCCTAAAAATTGACAATGGTGATAGTTGTACATATCTGTGAAAATTCTAAAAGTACAACAGAAAACACTGAATAGCACACTTTGTATGGGAAGGTTGTACTGTATGTGCATTTTGTTATTCCACGCAAGAGATGTTATTATCTGAAAGAGAAAATGCTGCCCCCAGAAAGAGGGAGCAGCCTGTATGTGCATTTTATGTGAATAAAGCTTTTTAAGAAATTCTCCCAGGGAGAACGTATATACTGAGAACAGCAATGGGAAGCAGATGGAATCCTTGAGAACTGTTAACAGTGGACTAGGAGAAGAAGGCGAGCCTGGGAAGGAGACAAGGAAAGGATAACCAGGGGAGAAGAATTTTTTGTAACAGGGAAGAGATAGTGCTGACAACTGAAAAGAAAGGGCTAGTATGAAGAGAACTGGAAACCACCAGTGCATTTGGCAGCTAAGAATTAGTGGGTTACCTGAAAACAGCTAAGTGTGGTGAGGACAAATGAGCCAGAATATATTGAACTTAGACATGAGTGGGGAGGTGAGCAAGTAAATAAATATAGAATATATTAAGAGCAACATTAACTAAAACACCCTTGCTTTTAGTTCTTAAACTGTGACAGAGCCATTCTACTAGATTGTATACGGGGAGAAACAGGAAGCGGAATGAGATCCAGGCTAAAGTGGAATCATGCTATAATCTGCCTCCATTTCTGAACTCGGGTCTACTTTGCTCTATCCACTGCTTCTGGTTAGCACACCAGCCATGGAACCTGAAAAAATGACTTGAAGGAATCAGGTTCTGGGCTGTTTCATATCCCTTATCATACTGGGGTGGCTACCAGTTTAATTGCCCATCTAACAGAGACAATCAGAAAAGTACAGACCTGAAAGAAGTCATGTAGACATAGCATAATCCTTTCAGAGGTGAAAATAGAAGGTTAGGTGGCTTGTCCAAAGTCATAACATTTTCTGTTAAAGAGCTAAGACTGGAACCTAGATTTCCTGTCAGCCTTGATGTCTTTTCCTGAGACCCACCCTGGTTCCTTAACACAAACACTGGTTGCAGAATTTGCTTTTAATTTCCTCACTATAATCTTTAGGTTGAAATATTCTGCTTTAAATTTAACTGTGTATAATTAGAGCATACTGATTACTAAGTATTTCAACTTTAATACCTTAATAACTCCTATTTTATCTTGTACATTCAGTCATCAGTTAAAGTGTTCTAAAAAGTTTCCTTTAACTCCTTACCATTTGAAATTATCTTGTAAAAATCGGATGACTTAACTTTTTTATATACTGTTGAATGATTTACATGCTCTCTACCTTTTTTTGTAAGATATAGTTGATAATAGATAGGCTAATTTAAACAAAAAACAAAACAAAACTTGGTAATAGCTCCAGATGTCTACTTGGAAATCTATGCTATTAATGAATACTTGAAACTTTTCTTCATATTCCACTTGCCAGGATCTGTGTTCTAAAGGATCTGTTCCCCTCATCTGAGAAAAAAAATCATCTGATAGTCTTCCTTACTTCTCCCACCCCAACATCTGCCAGTAAAGACCCCTGTAATAAAGAATGTATATCCACACAGCTCTGGCAATGATCAGACTTGGAAGATTTTTGTTCAGCTGAGGTGGTTTGGATCTGGCAAGAAATAGTCTGATAAAAAAATGCATTTATCTTCTTAAAAAAAACTAGTTATACTGTCACAGCAGAACATCTGCTAATCAGTAAGGCATCAGATGTTGAGTGTCTATAATGCTGTGCCAAGATCCAGCCTAAACAACCATTCTTTTCTTATCATGTCTATGGATTAGATTTGGATCTTTGGCTACTATCTAGTGGGGACTTTCTCCTTCCTTCAGAATGGAAGCCACATATTATTACTATTATTTTTCTCTTCCAATTTCAACATCTTGTTGTTCATCTTGCTAAACATTATCCTTCACATCCTTATCCCAAGAGACCCCAGAGACTGCACTAGCGTCCTCTAGAGCAGCGATCTTCACCTGAAAGCAATTTCATCCCTAGAGGACATATGACAGTATCTGGAGGCATTTTTGGTTGTCAGTACTGGGGAGATGTTACTGGCATCCAGTGGGTAGAAGCCAAGATGCTTATAAACAATGCAAAGACAGCCCCCACAACAAGAAATTATCTGATCCAAAAACATCAGTAGTGCTAAGGTTAAGAAATGTTGTTCTAGAGAGTGCTACCCAGAGAGCAGTTCTGTTTTTCCTGTAAGAGATGGAAAGTCTTATTCCTTCATTACCATGTATGGGAGTGGCCACGCTTTAGGTATCTGGTCAATATGATCACTAATAATCATGAACACATGAGGAACTCTCAGCAAAAGTACCAAAGTCTTAAATCATTAATCACCTTTCATTCATAATCACAAATTAGAGAAAGTAGAGAAGCTTTAAGAAAAATGAAAATATGAAAGACAGATTTTGGTTTACAGTTTCTTCCCCACTACTGAGCTAACTGCTAGTCATTTAGGAGTGTACAATATAAGAAATTTTAAGAAAGCATGACAAAATGCAGAGTCTGATGTTGAGTAAGATAGTAACTTAATAATATATAACAATGACTGCTTTTAGACAATGGAGAGAAAAATGAATGCACATAATGAGTTTACTAATGGCAAAACTACATCCCTTCCCTTCATGATCATGTTTGATGAGGAATGGCTTGAAATTGTTATTACATAAACTGGGAAAAAGTGTTTTGAGAGTACTGAATGCAAAATAAAGGCAGTGGAGATTTTATAAATTCCAGCAGGCTAGAGAGAGAGGACTATTAAAATGTATGATTCTGGCAGAAAATTGTTTCAATAATTGACAACAAGCTACTTGTTAACCAAGATTTACCATGCACTTTAATCTCATAGTCTAGCACTTACCTGCAGGGTCGCTGGGGATGGCTGACTTACATCCCACACTCCTGGAGCTATCATTTCTATGGGGGGTTCACTCTGTAAGGTCATACTGAATAGCATAGGCCCAAGAATGGCTTTGCTGCAAAAGACAACATATATAGACAGACAGGAGTCACTTCGAGCTATTATTATCTATAAATGTTTTCTTTTGGAATTTAAACATAATCAGCGATTTTAGTGGCTCATTCAGCATCTAGAAGAGAGATACAATATTGCACAATCCTAGACACTAATTAATAGTACATTTTTAATACATCACATGCATAGTTATGTTCATAGATACCTACATTTATCTTCCACAGAGAAAATTGTTTACACAGTGATTTCTAACAGGTAGCATTTATTCTTAACTTCTGACAATTCTCATTAAACTATGGGACTAAGAATCTCAGATTTATATTCCTGGAGTATGACTGCCTGAAGTCAATAATGATGTTAACTCTTCAGAACGATTTTTTGTTCCACAGAGTGACCAAATTACCCAGGTATCTATAAAAGGCCCTAAACTTACAGAAAGAAAAGATTTAAATTAGCATATGATCTGCAGAATCAAAATAGTTGTGGGGATTCACAGAGGAAATGCTTCTTTATGCATAAATAGAAAGATTATTCACATTTTGAATGTTTAAAAATATATTGTAAATTACCATAGTAAAAGAGAATGCATATGGGAAAGATTTTAAATAGGAATAATAGCTTCAATAACATCCAAATCTACAGGTCCTTATAGGAATTAAAAAAAGATGTTATACCTGGTTGTGAATATGAACTGGATTATTGCTAAACTGTTCCAATGATCACTGAGGACAGTTTTGATTTTAATATGCCAAATTAAAAATACAGAACTGAAAGTCAACAAAATTCAATTTTACAAAGAATTTTAAGGCATGAGGAGAATCTTCTGGAGAACAACATAGAATTCCATCTTGCCATTTAACAGAGACTATGTAAAATATGAAGAAAAAATCCAACAAAAACATCCTATTTAAACTTTACTTTTCTGAAGCCTGCCCTCTTTGTTTTCCATATATAAAGATATTATTAGAAAGTATCCTCCCAGAGAAGTACAATTTGTAAACATTATATTATTGGGTCGATATGTTTATATGACCCAAAGATATTCTTCTAGCTAGATGAATTTTGAATCTTCTTTACCCCTTTGCTCTATTCTTACTTCATCTGTAGAAACTTGCTTTTTGTTATAACAATTCTGGGGGCTGGGGTCAGTATTAGCCAACTAAAAATCACCTTAGTAGCGTAAAAATTAGAAAATTATTAATGTGATTTTCCCTTTGCCTTTCAGTGTATATGACCTTCCCCAAAATGGTTTAAAGCTTCCATCTGCTTGTGAAAAGTTTTGGATTAATTTCAGGCAGAATGCAAGAGGAAAAATGAGCATTTCTAACACCAAACTTGGAGGGCTCAGGTGTTAATGTTCCCCACTGCACTTACAGAAAATATCCCTGTCCATGGTAAAGCATTAACAGGAGTGTGGAATGAGGATGGAGCATACTGGCTGGAGAATGTGGCAAAAGACAAGGCCACCACTTTCTTGTAATTTGGGATGGTGGGAAGCAGAAGATGGAGTCAGGGGAAACAGAATGAGTATGGCAGATATAGGTGTCCCAATTTCCCCCCTTTCTGCCTTTGAAAGGCAGATGTAAGGGAGTGTTATATAAATGAACATAGCAAAATGCTAGCGGCAGAAGAGGCTCTTTTAGAACTCAAGGAAGGAAATCACTCCTTTGGCAACAACTTGTGGGTATGACCACAAACCTGGGGCCACATGAAAAACAGGCAGCAGGAACTCCTGAGATTAGCTTTACTGGGCTTTCTTTGTTTTTTGTACAGAAGAGATGAGAAGCAGCAGAAGATATCTGAGTGAGGGGTTTTCCCCAAAAGGGGGTTACATGGTAGAGATAAGGGGCACCTGTGATAAGAGCATCTGATTGAACCATCCAAGCTGAGATCAACTGGGAGTCACAGAGAAACTTCAAATGGGTCTATGGTGCCTACATATGAGGATGAAGATGATTGGTGGAATTAAGATGTGAAAAGGATGCATCTAGGAGAGTTGGTGGTCTCAGAAAGATGAAAACAGAAGCTTTTAATACCTGTGCCAGTGGGACCACCGGCATTTTTTATAATACTATCATGAAAAGGTTTATCAAGTCAGTTAGAATTAAGCAAAAAACAAAAACATGAAAAAGGCAGGATATACAGGCAAGTCTCATACAGTGGAAAGAACACCAGAGTGTATATCAGGACATCTGTACCTATTTTAATTACTTAGTTTTAATTAGCATAACATCTTTGAGTTTCTTGGATAAAATCAGCAGTTTTCAGAAGAGTGTTATTATTTGTTTTCATATGGCTTGGTAGTTGATGGTGGACTTCAGAAAGGTGGTGAGTTGATGACAAATGGGTTGAACTCCAGGATTTCAAATCACCCCAACACCCACACTCAACATTTGAATAAAATGTCATTAGAAAAAGGACCACACTGCTAAATATATCATTTCAAAATATTTTTCTGGACTTAAGGATCTTTTCAATGTCAATATTGTATAAATTCTTATGCCTAGAAAAACTGAGCCAAAATCTGTGCCAGCAGAACAGATGGGCTGGTTTACTCTCTCTGAGTCCCTGTTTCCTCAAGCAATAAAATAGGGGCTTTAAATAAAATAATTATTGTCATTGTCAGCTATAGGATTATATACATCCATGGCTTGCCATTCTGGAAACAAGAATACACAAGGCTTAAATAGGAACCAACACATCCAGAGGATCTGATGTAATAAAACTCTTTGGGACTCAGCTTCTTAATAAGTCTAACAGGTTTCATGCCCAAGAAGAGAGCACAGGGAGCCCCTTGTGTGGTGGTGAGGTTTTCACGGTGCATTCACAGCAGGGCATGGCAGCTAAGGAGGAAGAGGGGGACAGCTTAAGATAGTAACACATGTGGGGAGAAGTCAGACCTTCATTCTGGTTCTTGTTCTATTTATTGATACGTAGCCCAATGACCTACAGCGACTTTCCTTTAACCTTCCTTTATCACAGAGATCGTCATCTGTAAATGAGGCACTTGGACTTGTTGAGCTCTTAGTCTCTGTTGGACAGGAAGGGACAACAAAGAATTCTCATACACAACATTTTAAAATGACTTGGTTTTGAGGATATATTTGAAATGATAAGATACAGTGGAGTCAGGATTGGCTACTTAAGTAACTGACTAAGGAATCAAATTGTTTTGAGGCTAAGATTTATTTGGGGCTTCCTTTGAAATTCTGCAAAAGGTTGTAATTTTCCTGGGTTTTAATGCACCTCAGGAGCTTTGACAATACTGATACCTGGGTCCTGCTGCTCAATAATGAAATCAGAATCTTTGGGGGCACTTGGAAGTTAGTTGTTTTAAAATCTCCTCAGGAGATTCTATTCTTCAATCAGGGTTGAGAATCTCTGCACTGAAGGAGTTTACTACAATTTAGAAATGCTAAGTATTTGTTTTGCACTTAAGTAGGAAATGTAGCTCATAGGAATTGCTGAAGTGAGAATAACACTGTCTTACTGCAGTGTGGAGCCTCTGTGACTACAGATGTAGTGGAGGAGGCCCTGTTTGCAAAAACAGAGGATTATAAAACTTCTGTGGGCAAAATTTTACCTTTGGACTTGCAACATATTTTTTATAAGCCTGAAGATGAGTTTGTGTGCTTGAAAAATGTCAAAGTTTATTTTTATTTGTAGTCATTCTTGATGCAGCCATAGCTAATATATCTGAGTTTAATCACCATTGGTTCTTCTGAAACCCACATCTGGAGACCACAAAGAGATAGTGTAGGGAAATGGAAGTTCCATGACCAGGATCCTCAGCTGATACCCACTGTGTCTGTGCGATGAGGTAATCCTTAGCTTACCGTGCAGGCATATGCTTGCATACCTGTTGGCTATAAGCCAATACTGCCAGTATTGCTACAAAAAGAGTTCCACCTGGTGCTAGAGGCAGAGGGAAGCAGGAGAGAAGAGATCCTAGAGAGGAGAGAAAGAGAAGAGGATGGAGGAGAGCAAAGAGGCGAGCCTGAGGCAGAAGCTGAGTGGGGTCAGAGATGGAGGCAGATGGGAGTCTAGCACTCAACCTACTGCAGTGAGAATAAAGCTTGGTAAGCATCCTTTTACCCAGTGTTCTGTTGTCATTCAGTCTCACCAAATCCACAGTGAACTTGCCCGCAGCTCAGTTGCCAGGAGCTGGTAAGCCCCTCCAGCCCATAGCTACAGAGAGCCTTCAATTCTACATATTTTGAGGTTATGTGTATGATGGATAAAATAGACATAAGTGCTCATTACAACTCCACATGGCTAGGTATGGGCAATTCAAACTGTAATAAATGACAAATTCATACCAGAAGTTTAGGGACAGGGGTCATTCTGTGAAGGGAAATGAAATTAAGTGGCCTATTTGCTGTAACCTGGAAATATCTACATCATATTAATTGGGTTAGAATTTCTGTAACTCAGAGCAATGAGATCCATCACATCTCCCCAATTGCCCACATGATGGATTTCTGATGTCTTAAAAAGATCTTGATTTCTTTAAATTGTTTACCAGGAGAGAAGCAGTTTTTTGGATTTTCATGAGAAACAGTCATTTTGGAAATATATTTACAATATGTTTATTGAAGTGCTCTTATTGAAGTAAGTTGTATTTTCTGATATGATGTCTCATCCACAATTTTGACATTTTTCCTTAGGAAAACACCACCTAGTATTAGTACCCAGATGGCATTACTTAAAGATGCCCACTGTCTATGATCAGTCACATATAAAATGTCTATCAATGCAGGGACAGTGATATATGACAAAACAACATGGACACAGTATTTTTATTATCATAACCATCTAGAATAAAGTCTTGTAGTTTGAAAGACAAAAACATTCCAACCTTCTTAGATATTTTTTGCTTATTGCTTGTTATATGCAAAGGGAATACAATGGATTGCATTTTTTTCAGCGAATAGCTAGAAATATTATTCTAAAAACCATGCTCTATCTTACAAATACTGTAGTTGAAATTTTAAAGAAACTCACTCATGAAAAGGAAGGGCACTTGCATAGCTGCTCCTAGTGAGAAAGTAATGGAAGTTCTTAGTTCACAAATCAGATTTTGAAATATCTGCTAACAACAGTCGGTATTCCTTTTAGACTAAACTCTTTCGTAAAGTTTATTTCATTTAAGTCTCCTAAAGGGATTGATTTTCTTTCCAATTCAATTTAGTAAACAAACCTCTACTGATTGCCTATTTATAAGAGTACTGTGTCAGATGATAAATATTACAAAGGTAAATACATTCCTTGTCCTCAAGAAACACATACATGGAAACGGGTAATAACATGAAAATAAGTAATAGAGCAACACACAAACACCACACATACACACCCTTTAGGTCAGAATTAATCCAACAAAGATGATTTTAAAGATTTACCATGATTCCTTTGATATTATGTATATTGACTAAATGTGAGAACTAAGAACTCATGAGGAATTTTCTTAACATTTTTATCTTACCAAATCTTTTCAAAACAACAGGGGTAGAAACATTCTTTATAACAATATTAACATAACAATATAGATTCTAATTTTTCAAAGATCTTGTATTTTACAATGTGATTATAAAGCAAGTCTTACCATATTAAAAATAACTATGCTGACTTATTTGAAATATTTTTACTTTTATAGCATAGAAAATCATGTAGTTAATTGTATCAAATATTCTAAGTATCAATAGTTCCAAATCTTTATGGATAAATCAACAGTTTATTTTGCAATCACCATTAGTTCTGATTGAATATATGAACTTCTTGGCTTGTTTTCCTGGAAAATATCATCTTAAAGTTACTAAGTATTTCTTTTCAGCAATAAGAAGTCAGTAAACCACTTATATAATTTTATTTCAGCCAGAATTCCATGACTTACATTGTCTCTAAATGACAGTATTGACCTCAATCATTTTGAATTACTACTTCCAGAGTAGTTGGCTGGTCAGAGAAGGAAAAACAGTTGAAATTAGTCATGTCAATACTTTTCCATTTTAAATGACCCAGTTGACAAGTTGAGCATGAGGACTGTTTCTAAAGCCATTTCTACATTTTTGCTTTTCAGCCCTACTTTCAATAGTCATGATTTACATTAAGGTAACTCACTTTCAGAATAAAAGGTCTTCTTTTCTCATTATGCCACATACTGCAAAATATTTAGTTCTAAGGAGCTTTTTATTGAAATGGGACCTTTATTAATCACAAATGATATACTTACTCTTTTGGAAACAATGGAAGACAAGTCCAGGCTAATAAATCTGCATTACTGGTTGCACAAATAATCCCAAATAGTTTTATAGTGAGCATGGATTCCCTTGGCAGTGACTTTATTTCAAGTGGAAAAGTGATCCTTGAAATAAAAGAAAGAAGGAGATTGATTATCTACCAAATTATAATAATATTTTAATAAATATTTCCCTGTAATATAATGGTATGTGATAAACTATTTGAACTGAGACATCTTCTTGAACTTTTATGATTAATCTTTTAAAAATGGAAATATATTGATAATAGGGAGAATGTAGTAACCAGTTTTGCTCATGTGAAATCTGAGCATAAGATTGTATATTAATGATATCTTAATAAACAACAAAAAAAAGGAAATATAGCAGAAGTACCTAGAGTAATGAGATTGACTAGCCAATCAATGGGGACCATTGTAATTGTAATTTTGACATATATGCTTATTTTTAAAAATAACAATAACATGAGCATTTTCTCTTCATAAACACAAAAAAAGAATGGCTAACATTGCCTAGGGAATGGAAGAGGCAGGAAATAACTTAAAATAGGTCTAAAAGAGGAAATTGGCTATAATCAGATGGAAATTTGGAAAAGAATACTCCATGGAGAGAAAAGTACACGGTCAAGGGCATTTATATATGACAAGATTATGTATAGCCGAAAAACTGTCAGGGGATCACAGTGGTTAGAACAAGGGATATAATCAAGTTGGTTGGGGAAATTAGGGGGGCTGCAATTACAAAGATAGGTAGTTGCCAGAATGCTTAAGAACTCTGTAAGCCAGGCAAATAAATTTGAGCTTTTTCTTAATGGCAAAAGAAAATATTTGAAGGAAAAAGCTAAAAGTATAGAGTTCTTAACAGTTTATTTATTTATTTATATTTATTTTTATTAAGGTATGATTGATATACACTCTTACGAAGGTTTCACAAGAAAACAATGTGGTTATTAAATTCACCTTTATTATCGAGTCCCCCCTATATCCCATTGCAGTCACTGTCCATCAGTGTAGTAAGATGCCACTGAGTCCCTATTTGTCCTCTGTGAGCTACACTGTCTTCCTCGTGACCCCACACACACCATGTGCAGCAATCATGATACCCCACAATCCCCTTCTCCTTCCCTCCCCACCTGCCCTCCCCGCACCCCATCCCTCTTTGGTAACCACAGTCCCTTCTTGGAATCTGTGTGTCTGCTGCTATTTTGTTCCTTCAGTTTTGTTTCATTGTTATACTCCACAAATGATCTTTACAATTTTAAACATGAACTACTCTGGGTGGTGATGAAATCCTAGAAATGTGGGGAATGTTTGCTGAAATGTAGTAGATATAAGCTTCCTGGGTATGTCAAGATGAAAGAATTCAAAACTCAGACCTTGGATGGATTGTAGATGTGGGCCAAAAAAGCCAACAAGGATAAACACAAGATTGTTAATGATGAGAAAAACGAATTTGGGTGTTGAATCCATCAATATATACAAGAGAATGTCTAGGAGGTTACAAATAGTACTATAAGACTCAGGGTGGAGTACACCTGTATATCATGAGAGCCTAAGAAGAAAGGGCTTTTGACAGAAAGTTGAGAATGTGATCTGAGGTCCCTAATAGTGTGCAGAGGGAAGGGTACCTTTCTTTCACTTCTGGAGATATCTTGGTTATATAGAAATTATCAGGTTCTATTACAAAGACCTCAAGAGAAGAATGGTGTTTAGGAGAGATATATTAATGAGACAAGGAGATGAAAGACATATTTCTAAAGAGGTTCAGTGGGGGGAATACATTTACTAGAAGATGAGAATGCTAGGGAAAATTGGAACGAATGTTGGCAGATAAGGGAAAATTCATGGGAACTGATTGACCAAGAAATGGGGAGATGAAAGAGAAAAAGGATTGGCAGAACAAATGGGACAGCTTGTATTGGATTATATCTGATGGTGTTAGGTTTAAGGAATATAAACAGAAGCCACTGGCCAAGTAATTCCCAATTGAATTTTCATGTCAAATTGTTTAAGCAGTAAGGGATTATCAGAGGACTGACGATGTTCAAAGCCTACAGTCCAACTGGAAGGTGCTGACTGAGGATGGCCCAGCTGGTAATACTGAGCATCTTCTCATGCTAGGAGTTGGCTATCTAGTCTGATACTAGGGAGCAGCCCTTACTCAAGGTGTCAAGTCAGACAATGGTGACACCCTTTTGTGAGTGACTAGGCAGCATCCAGCTCAGAAACAAGGAGTTAATTCAGCCCAGAGACCACTACTGATTTTGAGGAAATATGCATCCCTCTCCTCAACATGCTGCCCCTTGAGATAGAGAGGTCCAGATCCAGGGTGGTAATAAAGCAGTTAACAAGAGGAAAAACAGAAGAGCTATTTTAGGGGTGACACAGATAACTCACATTTGACTGTCTACATATTAGTGGAATGGGACAATGAATGAAATATGAATTCTAGGCTTCTAGATTATATTACAGTGGGGATCATTAACTGATAGGAAACTGAAGGAGGAAATTGGGATGGGGTAAAATGCGCAGTTAAGGCCACAGGGTGATACAATGCTATTGAATTAATGACTCTGAGATGTCAATATTTAAGGTATGTATGGAATGCATGAGTCCGAGGTTTGGATCTGTACACACCCAGGCTCAAATACTGGCTCTAGGATTTATAAAATGGTCTTCCTTCAGCAATGAATTTAACCTTTCTAAGCCTTGTTTTTCCATATCTATAAAATGGAATAAATATTGCATAACACAACATTTGGCAAGAGGTAGGATGTGTCAACATTATAGTCATTATTTAAAAAATAATGCAATAATTTATATTTATTGCAGATAGGTGAAATATAATTCTAGTTAAAAGCAGGGGAGGGAAGTAAAGGAAAGACTAGAATGAAAAAATCTATTTTTCAAAATTAGCAAACTTTAGATGATTTAAAGGTTAAATTATTATATGTTTAGATGTCTAACACTAAAAATTTTCTATTCTTTCATACTCTTTTAAGCTCATAATATTCATTTAAGATAATGTGGGCATACTTCTCAGCTTAGAGGAAATTTTACATATTTATTTTTTTATTTTGGTATCATTAATATACAATTACATGAGCAATAGTGTGGTGACTAGATACCCCCCATTACCAAGTTCCCACCACATACCCCATTACAGTCACTGTCCATCAGCTTAGTGAGATGCTATAGAATCACTACTTGTCTTCTCTGTGCTATGCTGCCTTCTCTGTGCCCCCCCTGCCACATTATGTGTGCTAATCATAATGGCCTTTATTCCCCTTCTCCCTCCCTTCCCACCCACTCTCCACAGTCCCTATCCTTTTTGTAACTCTTGGTCCATTCTTGGGTTCTGTGATTCTGCTGCTGTTTTGTTCCTTCAGTTTTTGCTTTGTTCTTATGCTCCACATGTGAATGAAATAATTTGGTACTTGTCTTTCTCTGCCTGGCTTATATCACTGAGCAATAATACCCTCTAGCTCCATCCATGTTGTTGCAAATTGTAGGATTTGTTTTCTTCTTATGGCTGAATAATATTCCATTGTGTACAAGTACCACATCTTCTTTATCCATTCATCTACTGATGGACACTTAGGTTGCTTCCTTTTCTTGGCTATTGTAAATAGTGCTGCGATGAACATGGTGGTGCATATGTCTTTTTTAAAGTGGGATTCTACCTTCTTAGGGAAAATTCCTAGGAGTGGAATTGCTGGGTCAAATGATATTTCTATTTTCAGTTTTTTGAGGAACCTCCAAACTGCTTTCCACAGTGGCTGAACTAATTTACATTCCCACCAGCAGCATAGGAGGGTTCCCCTTTGTCCACATCCTTGCCAACATTTGCTGTTCTTTGTCTTTTGGATGGTGGCCATCCTAACTGGTGTGAGGTGATATCTCATTGTGGTTTTAATTTGCATTTCCCTGATGATTAGTGATGTGGAGTATATTTTCATGTGCCTTTTGGCCATCTGAATTTCTTCTTTGGAGAAGTGTCTGTTCAGAAACTCTGCTCATTTATTAATTGGATTATTTGCTTTTTTGTTCGCTGAGGTGTCTGAACTCTTTGTATATTTTGGATGTCAACCCCTTATTGGATATATCATTGATGAATATGTTCTCCCATACTGTAGGATGCCTTTTTGTTGTACTGATGGTGTCCTTTGCTGTACAGAAGCTTTTGTGTGATGTAGTCCCATTTGTTCATTTTTGCTTTTGTTTCCCTTGCCCATGGAGATATGTTCATGAAGAAGTTGTTCATGTTTATATTCAAGAGTTTTGCCTATATTTTCTTCTAAGAGTTTTATGGTTTCATGACTTATATTCAGGTCTTTGATCCTTTTGAGGTTACTTTTGTGTATGGAGTTAGAAAGTAATGCAGTTTCATTTTCTTCCATGTAGCTGTCCAGTTTTGCCAACACAGGCTGTTGAAGAGGCTGTGATTTCCCCATTGTATATCCAAGTCTTCTAAAATGAATGCATTGCATTCTATTTCCTCCTTTAATTCTGTTAGAATTTATTTCACATACGTAGGTGCTCTTGTGTTGAGTGCACAGATATTTATAATGGTTATATCCTCTTGTTGGACATATCCCTTTATCATTATGTAATGTCCTTCTTTGTCTCTTATGACTTTGTTTGTTTTGAAGTCTATTTTGTCTGATACAAGTACTGCAAATCCTGCTTTTTTCTCCCTATTGTTTGCATGAAATATCTTTTTCCATCCCTTCACTTTTAGTCTGTGTATGTCTTTGGGCTTGAAATGAGTCTCTTGTAGGCAGCATATAGATAAGTCTTCCTTTTTTATCCATTCTATTACTCTGTGTCTTTTGATTGGTGCATTCAGTCCATTTACATTTAGGGTGATCATCTATAGGTATGTACTTATTGCCATTGCAGGGTTTGGATTAATGGTTACCAAAGGTTCAAGGGCAGCTTCTTTACCATCTAACCATCTAACTTAACTCATTTGTTATACTATTATAAACAGTCTAATGATTCTTTATTTTTCTCCCCTCTTTTTCTTCCTCCTGCCCTCTTTATATGTTAGGTGTTTTATTCTGTACTCTTTGTGTTTTCCCTTGACTGATTTTGTGGATAGCTGA